ACTGCCCTGTCTTTGCCATCAGACAGGGGTACTCCAACCATACCTCCACCATCCAGTAGTATTAACCAATGCTTTTCGTGGGAGATGCAGAAGCTTTTACCATCTGATTTATTCTATAATCTTGCTGAGGTAAAGAAAGGGAAGGAATATCGAAATCATGGTCACAGCCATCTAGAAAGAATGACAGATGGTTTTGCAACCACGCTGACCGGGCATTCATATTCCTTCCTGAGGAAGGATCCAGGTGTGCTCTGAAGGACAAAATGTGATTACAGAGCCTTCCTCACCCTCCAGATCTCAGATGCTAACGTTACTTTCTCTCTCCATCACCACAAACTGTTTGCTCCATCCCAGCAGTTATAACTCACCTTCTCCAATCATCTCCACTCAGACTCAGGCCTTTTGGCCACAAATCCAGTGCATGAAGGATACAATCTTTAGGTTTACACATGTGTGTAGTACGTCTTCCCCTTTTCCCAACCCTCCTACCCATTAGCACATTTGTCCCCTTAGACCATTTATTTGTTTTCATGTCATATATACATAGTTGTATTTTAGGTATCTGTATAAAATCTAAGAACCACAAATGAGAGAGAACATGGTATGTCTTTCTGAGATTGGCTTCAGGCATATTTTTAGCACTTACTTGTTAAGCCACCTACTTCAGCCTGTACAGGTCACTAAAGAGGTACTGCACTCAACCCAACGATCACTAACCTCATGATCTAGGGTCACACAGATCAGCAAGGATCCAGATGGCTTAGTCGGAATTAGTGTAAAATCCCCATGCCCCACTGTCCTGGCCTGCCATTAGTATGATCAAAGCAAAGTGCCTAGGAATGGTCAGGGAGGAATTCCTGATTTTAGAATAGTGACAGGTCATCCTGACCAGTAAGCAGGAATTGACTAGCAGTAAGCAGGAAGTGACTAGGAGACAACATCTCTGAGGCATTTTGGTGACCAATCTGCTTTATTACAGTATGTCAACCAGGAGATGAGGGATCTACAACTAGAAATCCATTTAACTGACTTTTGGGTTTGTTTTGGTCTTTTATTGATTACTTTATTACACTTATTTATTTTGAGGGAAGGGAGCACATGCCACAGTCCCCATGTGGAAGTCAGAGGACAGCCTGGAGGAGTTGATCTCCTTCTTCCACAATGGGTCCTGGGGACAGAACTCAGGTGACAAATCTTGCTAGCAAAAGCCTTTTGCCACCGAGTCACCTCCCCAGTCATGTTTCATTTTCTGGAACAGGTCTGTAGCCTAAGCTGACCTCAAACTATGTGGCTGAAGATGACCCCAAACCCTAATCCTTCTGCCTCCACCTCTCATGTGATGAGATTACAGGCATGTGCTACAATCCCTGATTTGAACTGACTTTTGAAGAGGCCACTCCAATGTTCAGATATATCAGATGCCTGGGGAATGTGAACTCCCCATTGAGCACCTGAATAAGCACTTTATTGAGTGTCATTTGTGGCAAAAACGAAAAAACAAAATCCATATTATTATCAAGCTGCCCAGAAAGCCAAAATCACGACACGAGTTTCAAGGGCTACAACAGCAAAATGGCAACGCTAACTGCATTTTCTTCTGACTTTTGCTTTATTCTGTTTCTGCCCAGCCATTCCCACTGCAGAACATCTCTCTCATGCAGGCAGTTTCACCGAGTACATTGTTTCTATGATACTAGGAAACTTGTAAGCAGCCAGGTACCACAGTCTCCCTCCCAGCCTAACAGAAACTTTTTGTTAACTGAAAACTCTTTGTTAACTGACCTGCCCCTGGTCTTGGGTAAGTATGGTGATCTGATCTAACTATGATCATTGGCTTTGCCTCTGGCATGATGTAATTGCGGTTTTAAACTTTATAAACCCCGCCTTGCTTCACTTCAGAAGCAAGAGTTCTTTGGGCATTAGGCTCCTCTCTGAGTTCCAGCTATTAAAGGACTCTTAATGTGACAACTGCTCTGTGGTGTTGCTCTGTGCATCTCACTCTTACAATAGTACGGCTGGAATCTGCTAGTCAGTCAAGAACAATGCTGTGCCTGAGAAAAGTTCAACACTGCGGAAGCCCTAGGGATACCTATGAGAGGAGGTCATGGTCTGATGTAGCCATTTTGCCAAGAGGAAGGTGGGAGGAGGTAGAGATGAAGGCTCACACTATGTGACCTCTGCACTGTTGTTTGCACAGGTCTGGCTTGTAGTAGCCATTGCATAACAGAGTCCCCTCTGCCGTACCTACAACAGTGGTTGTGTTACCAAGTACAATAGGATGATGCACCCAAGCAGTAAGGACAGCTATCAGAGTTGTGTGCTTTGACTGGCAGTCTAACACCAGAAGTCTGGCCCTTCCAGGGTTCACGGAACACTCAAGGGTCTGTATTGAGTGGCATGGTCCTCACTGCAGACACTGTGTATTTCAGCCTTGGATTCTCCAGCTGGACAGCCACAGGCACACTGCCCTGACTTTGGGTGTGTGGAATCAGTTGTCACGTGGCCCTAAGATCAGTCTTTGAAGTGCTCAGAGAAGAATGAGCAACAATCAAAGCACCATTTAGGCAGCTTGTTTCCTTATTTCTTAGTGCACAGACCTTAGACATTAACAAGTAGCATATTAGAGGATCCTTATTTCCCTAATCCCCATTCCAATACTTGGACAGAAGCACTTATTACTAGATCCTAGAGAATTGTCTCATCTCCATATCTGGCTGTGGCATTGTTACCGGCCTCTTCAAAGTGGCCACTGTCAGCATTACACCCTCATCACCAAAACCACCAAGAAACATGAGGCCCTGGGGCTGGAGACAGGATTTGTTACAGCAGTTTCCAACCTATTAAGATTTTCTTGTTCTGGTTCCCAAGCCCCAGTTCCCACAGGGCAATGCAAAGAGTCCAATGACATCTGTTCTGCACCAGGTTGCATGCAGCCCGTCCCCTACATCTTTCATAGGACCTTTGCTCCAGAGGGAAACACTGTCTTTCCATTTTCCCTGCTTATCTCCGAAAAACATCAAAGAATGAAGGCAAGATACACAAAAAGACACACAGGCTACAGAGAATTGTCTACTAAATTCTTTATTTTTGTTTTACGTGTATGAGTGTATTGCCTGCACATATGTAAGTGCACCCGTGTTGTGCAATGCCCAAGGAGGACAGAAAGTAAATTCCCCCGGAACTGGAGTTATAAATGGTTGTTAGCTGCCATATGGGGGCTGAAAATTAAACCCCAATCCTCTGCAAGAGCAGCCAGTGCTCTAAACCGCTGAGCCATCTCTCTAGCCCCAATTCTTTCTTTTAAAGAAAGTGGAAATTAACAGGCTAAAGAGTTGGCTCAGTGGTTAAGAGCACTGGCTGCTCTTACAGAGGACCTAGATTTGATTCCCAGCATCCACATGATGGCAAACAACCATTCTGAATTCCAGTTCCAGGATATCTGATGCTCTCTTCTGGTCTCCACCGGCATTCCACAACACCGGCTCACTTACATACATGCAGGCAATATATTGACACACATAAAATAAAAATAATAGCTGGGCGTGGTGACCCACATCTTTAATCCCAGCACTTGGGAGGCAAAGGCAGAGGCAGGCAGATCTCTGTGAGTTTAAGGCTAGCCTGGTCTACATATTGAGTTCAGGTCAGCTGGAGTTACAGAGAGACCCTGTCTCAAAAATACCAAAAATTTTTTTAAAAATTTAAAAAAGAAAGTGGAAATTACCTCCCCATTTGTCGTTTACTAACAGACACTTGCAGCTGGTGAGACATCATCTCCCTGACCACCTCTCCACACACACGCTCCTTTCTCCTGACCTATCTTGATTCTCTGTGAGGTTAAACGTATCTTGCATGAATCTCACAGGCCAGTGCTTATGCCAATCATCAGGTACATAATGGCAAGTTACTAGATTTCAACAAAGAGTATGATAATTAAAGATTTCTGAAAAGATGGCCAGGTAGGCAACCTGGGTACCTGTCTAAACCAGTGACTCTCACCTTCTCCCATCTTTAACTCAAAGACGGATATGAGACATCCATTTGTCAGTAGCTCTTAATGGGCAAAAACAAAGAACTAGCAAATGAGCATTAATTGAGCAAATCCTAAACTCGCATTCATTATTTTGCTTCAATACGAATACCGCTCAATATAACCACATCCAACTTTTAACTTCTTCAAACCAAAGTCATTACTTACCATTCCAAGCTGTGATAATATTAAGAAACTTTTTTAAGAAATACTAAAATTTTTCGTATTACTCAAAATCTTAGAATTAGAAAGCACTTCAAAAATCTACTCCTTAAACCGGGCGTGGTGGCACATGCCTTTAATCCCAGCACTCGGGAGGCACAGGCAGGCGGATCGCTGTGAGTTCAAGGCCAGCCTGATCTACAAACCAAGTTCCCCTGCCAAAAAAAAAAAAAAAAAAAAAAAAAAAATCTAGTCCTTAAAATTTAGGGCCCAAAAAAATACCTGAACTTTTTCTTTTCTTTTTTTTTTCCCCCCACTCTTTTTAGTTCCCCAAGTGGCCTGGAACTCACTGTACAGACAAGGCTGGCCTTGAACTCAAAGAAATCTGGAGTGCTGGGATTAAAGGCATGGGCCACTATGCCCAGCTCTGAATTTTTTCTTAAATAGCAAACTATATCCCAGTACTTGGAGGCAGAGACAGGCGGATCTCTGATTTCGAGGCCAAGTTGGTCTCCAGAGGGAATTCCAGGCCACCTGGGGCTACAGGGAGGCCCTGCCTCAAAAAATAAAAAAGGAAAGAAAAATAAAAGAAGGAAGGATGGATGGAAGGGAGGAATATGCTAGAAAGCATCTTAAAATACATAATGCCTTTTTAAATCAGCAGTACTTTTATGTTCAGTTTCATGTTAAGATATACTTACTATTCATCTGGTCCTACAGCAATTAACCCAGAAATATAACTGTTAAATCAATATCGGGGTAAACCATAAAAGAAAAGACACTGCTACATTAGTTGATTGAAGATTTTTTTCTCTTTGAATTTAATGAGTTTACATCAAAAAAAAAAATTGGTAGTCATTTTACATCTAAGGAATAAAAATTTTTTTAAAAAAAATACAAAGAGGGAAAGGATTTTAACCAAGTGTACATTTCCTTTTGCTATGGTTTTGAACAATTCATCTCATCGCATCTTACCACAATGTGTATATGCATTTCACAGCACCTGTTACAATCATGAAGCTCCATTTTAAGTACATACACTGTTAACAGTGCCTCAGAAGAACTGATATGCCTTCTATTAAAAGCTCTACAGTACATCTAAGCATTACATAATCCTGCTAACCACCCACGGTCACAAGAATCATCACCAAAGTTGGCTAGAAATAAGTCCACATAAGAATTAAATATTTAAAAGCTGAAATGTTCCTTGTATTAATTTTAGCAAGATCTTTGCTTTTTCGTTACTAAGAAACACTTGAATAGTTTCAGAGCAAAAGCTCTAAGAGTCTAGAGAGCTAAAACTGTACTCCTGAGCTCAAGCTTACATATAAGTCTTTTTTAAGTAGTTCTCAAAATATCCTCCCCCCCATCCCCAAATCGTGTATTGATCTTACAAAACTTTGGTCAAGAATAGAAATATATCAGGCAGATGTATATGCCATACAATAGCAAGAACAGTAAAGCCCAACTAATGACCTTGGGTTTTAAAAATAGAAGGCAATTAAGATGTACTCAAAGTTACATTAAGAAAAGCTTTTACAGGATAATATTGAAACAGTCACAAAGGTTAAGAAAATACTGATATCAAAGTACAAATGACTACAATGTTAAAATAGACAAAACTACAATATAAGAGCTTCTTTTAAAATTAAAAAGAAAACACAACACATGAGTCAGGATGATTTCCTGTTCTACTCATGAATTTCAGTCTTTGTATTTATAAGGTTGGTTATGTTGACATCCAGTAGAGTTTCTTATGACATCTGATGAGGTCTCATTCCAACTTCACACAGTGGATCTTCTCCCAGGAACCTCTGGGTCCTGGTCACATCTTCATCACTGTACAATTTCAAAGTAGTGCAGTATTGCCATGATGTGCTGGGGCATGAAGACATAGCCAGTGTACAGGGCCATCCCCACGACCGAAACCAGCATCGAATCTGAGCTACAGTTAAGGTAAACCCATTTTTCTTAGTTTATTCAAAACTAAGTTCTACAGTTTTTTCAACAGCCACCCATCTCTGTGAGGTTCCACTCACTTAGTGGCCAGCCACTGAGATACCCTAAGTGATTTTTAGCTCATTTTACCTTTATTGTCAACCATGCAAAAACCGGTGCTATTGATCTCCCTATTGGAGCTGAAAACATCAGACTGCTGAAAATTAAGCATGTGTAGAAAGAAATGCACAGAATAAAAGGGTAGTTAATAACCTTATAAGGTCCACCAACTTAAGTACTAATTAAAATAATACAAAACTTTAGACTTAGACCACCACACAGCAGAAAGCATGAACTCTGAAGTTAGACAAAGTTGAAATCAATCTATACTAGCTTACTGACAGAAAAGGACAGCACCAATTACTGTCTAACCTTTATTGCTAACCAGTCATCACCACTGCTGCTAATTGCAACAATTCCAAATAAAAGTCATCTCAGTAACCTAAACAGTAACCACTCTGCAAAAGAAACTAAAGCTCCACACACACAAGTCAACAAGGGGCCCTGCTGTACAGCCACAGAAACACTGTGAACAAAATGTACGTAAAATCTGACAGCTGAGGCTTTGCAAAGTCACAAAGCAAATGCGAAGAGGCCTTACTGCTGCTGAACTGAGTGAGGTCATAACATGATTCATCCACTCACCTCTCCTCTCTCTTCCCCAACCTCCCCCATTTAGCCCTCTCTCTTACATTTAGCTCTACTAGTATTTCCATAATAGCTTATATGGGGGAGAGGGGCACACATGTGAAGGCCAGAGGTCAACATCTGTGTTTTTCTCTATTCTGTGACGTTTTGTTTTTTTTTTTTGGTCTTTTTGAGACAGGGTCTCCCTATAGCCCCAGCTGTCCTGGAACACACTATGTAGACCAGGCTGGCCTTGAACTCACAGAGATCTGCCTGACTCTGCCTCCCAAGTGCTGGGATTAAAGGCATGCACCACCACGCCCGGCTCTGTGACATCTTATTTTTGAGACCAGGTCTCTCATTGAACCTGGAGCTTACGAATTGGCTAGTCTGGCTGGCCAGCAAGCCCCAGGGGTCATCATGCCTCTACCTCCCCCGTGTTAGGATTATAGGCATGTGCCACCACATGTAGCTTTTTACACGGGGCTAGGATCCGAACTCAGGTCTTCACCCTGTGTGGCAAGCACTTCACTCACTGAGTGGTCCACTCAGCCCACATTTTTTATTAGAAGATAGGGCTTAAATAAATAATGTGCTTACTACAAGTTAGTATTTGTATAACAGTTCAGTTGGCAAATCTCTTAATCAAGACTTGACTAACCCTTACAGCTTTCCTATCAAATATTATAGCTACTACTCATCAAAAGCTAAGAAAACAGTGACTGGTCAGGGCCATGTGGAAGCTGTCATTAGAGCCAGAGGTCAAACCAAGGCTTAAATCCTAAATTCATTCACCTCATGGAACAAACATAAGTGAAACATCCCTCACAATGTTTGCTTCACGTTGTCTCCACTCTAATACTGTTCTTCCTTAAATTTCCACCTTTTCCTTTACGAACTAATGTCTTGAAAACGAACAACAAAAAGAAAACCTACTTGCTATCTCCCATCACTCCACATTTAGTTGTTGACCAACACAAGCGACTGCCTTCCACTCGTCCACACAACAGGCAATGCTCTAACATCTCCTGTGGCCTCTGACTAAACACAATGGCTGCCTGAACAGGCACTGCCTTAGTCCTTCCTCTGCAAAACTCACTCATTCTAGGCTAAAGTGCTTCTCTGGGCTTTCTTCACCTCCATCACCATTTCCTGCCTCTGTGCACTCCCTTACATTCCATGACTAGAGTGGACTCTGTGCTTCTCTTCCAAGCATCCTTACCATTTGTGGTTTGTTGGTTTGTTTTTGTTCTTGTTTACCTGCCATGCTGGGACTCAAACGTGGGGCCTTGCGTGGAGCCAGCCCTTTATTTTCTTCAGTGGATTTAACTATTTGCCTGCTTACCCAATCAGGAGCTCCTTTGAGTCCTTCTCCCCCACATTCAAGTATCCCCAATCCGTATCTCCTCTCTTTTCCTCACCAACCATAAATGACAAAGCCTTTTTTTTTTTCAGTCCTTACTTGGATTATGTATTTCGATCTAATTTGTTTCTGCAGGTCTTAGCTCTCAGAAACAAAATAAACAACTACCAGTTCTAGTAAGGGCAAAGAGAGAACCATTGAAAATTTATAATTTTCAAAGATTTAGGGGGCGCTCCTTTTGAGACAGGGTCTCCCTGTAGCCCCAGCTGGCCTGGAACTCGCTATGTAGATCAGGCTGGCCTTGAATTCACAGAGATCCACCTGCCTCTGCCTCCTGCGTGCTGGGATCAAAGGCACCACCAGAGCTGGCAAAAGAGACCATCGGATCCTCTGGAACTAAACTGGAAGTTACTTCTTGTTTGGTTTGGTTTGGTTTGGTTTGGTTTAGCTTAGTTACTGTTTTTGAGACAGGGTCTTGTTATGTAGCCCAGGATGGCCTCAAACTCTACATCCTCTGGCCTTAGTCCCACAAGTACTGGCATTATGTAAATGTGCTACCACATGAGGCCTAAAGTGTCCTACTGACTACCAGGCACTGGTTTTACAGACATGTGCAGAACTGGGAAACATGAGACTTCATCTCTTTTTAAGGGTCCTCACAAACAAAGGCAAACAAGCCATTTAGAGTATGCTATCACAATTTGCTATCTGGTGCTTAACTGGATTTCTCAGTCCATCTCAGTCTGCCCCACATCTCTCAAAGTTTAAAGTATCCTTGACAGGCTGGGCAAATGGCTCAGCAGAAGTGCTTCCCAAACAAGCATGAGGACCCAAGTTCAGATCCCTGGAACTCATGTAAAGCTGGACACACACAGTGTGTACATCTGTAATCCCAGTGCTCCTACAGCAAGATATGGAGCAGGGACAGAATTCCCTGGAAGCTTACAAACCAGCTTCACTGTCTTACAGAGGCAAGCAGGAGACCATGCAAAAAAGGTAGAGGGCAAGGAGTAAGAGCTGAGGTTGTCCTCTGACCGCCACGCCTGTGCCACAGCATGTACACCCACACTCACACCCATGATTGCGCACAAAGATAAGAATAATAATAAATGATCCCTGACACTGTAGCACCGAAAGTGAGTGCTAGAAACAGCACGGCCCTGGAGACCTAGGTTTAGTCATAGCCCTGCCATCCTTGCCCAGATCAGTTGGGCATGGTGGCAAATGAATACCTTTAATTCCAGCACTGAGGCAGGCAGATCTCCATGAGATGGAGGCCAGCCTGGTCTACATAGTGAGTTCCACGCCAGTTGGGGCTACAGGGAGACCTTGTCTCAAAACAAAAAGCAAAACAAAACAAAAACCTGGATCGTCAGTGTCTACCTGTAAAATGTAGACACATATCACCCATCTCAGAGTTGATGTGAGAATTAGGAATGGAATCTGCTCTGCAACAGAAGTCAACATATACATATCAAAACCATTCAAGGGTTTGAACATTTGCTACCTTGCTACGAAGGTAGCAAGCTTCTGGACTGAGTTTCTTTGCAAATGAGAGTCTCTCTTTCTTCATTAACATTTTAAGATCCCATTTATTTGGGGAGGACATTTAGTTACTGCCTCTCCATCAATCTGAAAGTCGTCTTCTATTTGAGACACACACAAAATGTAAAAACCAATCAGATTATTTAAAAAACACAGTAAGAGATGGTTCAGCAGTTAGAACACTGGCTGTTCTTGCAGAAGACCCGGGTTTGAATCCCAGCACCCACATGGTAGCTAACAACTGTCCGTAACTCCAGTTCCAGGGGATCCAATAGCCTCATCTGTCCTCCATGGGCATGGCATGACACAGGTACACTTACCTACACACAGGCAATACACGAATATACATTAAATAATTTAAAAAAAAGAAAGAAAAAAACAATAAGGCAGAAGAACAGAGAAATAATCTATTTACCAAACTTTCATTATTGTTTATATAAGTATTCATACCTATTATATAAGCCAAATTTATACAGTAGAGGGGTCTCTTCTGATTAGAAAAAAAAAACTAAAAAGCCAAAAAATGGGCTGCTAATATGATATAGTTACATCTCTGCCACTGAATTTTAACTGCTTGTGAGCAGGACCACACCTCTACTGAGTCTTTGCTCTACACTGTAGGGCACTGTATGATAGAGAAAGTGCTCCATAAATCATTCCAGAACTAGCTGACCATGTGTCAGGATATATGCAGGTCCTAAAGACAAGTGTTTGTTCAAGGTCTGAGTGAAAAATAGGCTACTTATAACCGGGACATCACATAAACGTTTTATGTCCATGGATATAAAAGCAAATAGATGTGAAACTATGTACTGTAGGTTGTTTGCCCTTTCTTTAAGAGAGATCCCCAAGCCAGGCACGGTGGTGCATGCTTATAATCCCAGCCCTGGTGGGGGTGGGGGATACAGAGGCAGGAGGATCTCAGTGAGTTCAAGGCCAGCCTATTCTACAAAGCAAGTTCCAGGCCAGCTGGAGCTACAGAGGCCCTGTCTCAAACAAACAAAGAACCTCTACTAAAATGGAATTTGACTTCACTTGAAAAGACATTTCTGTGAATTTATATCATGTAAGCTCATTATAGAAAATTAGGAAAAAAATTAATAAATAGGCTAACCTCAGCACTTACCCACCAAAATTCAGGCTAGGCACTTACATGCAGGCAATACACTTACATACATAAAAAAATAAATAAAAAGTAAATTAAAAAAAAGAAAAGAAAAAAAGAAACCCTGTAACGAAGGCAGGAAATGATTCAAAGAAAGATAAGCACCATAAATCAGAACAAGACCAGTAGCTAACACTTCCTGTCCTCAACAGTAACCGCACACTGCCCATTCATGTCCTAGTCACAAGACTTTGGAAAACGAGAAAGCAGTTTCTTACTAGGATGAAGCTGGGGCCTCTGCT